ACATTAAAACAACTTTAATTTTTTTAAAGAAAAAAAATTCTAAATGTTGAAACTTGTCTTGATTGAGGAGGAGTAATAGTAGGGGCAATAAGAGATGTATAAAAGTTGGATTGCCTTTCAAAAGTGTGTACATAATGCTTACTTTAAGGTACTAATAAAACCCTAAAAAGGACACTTAGTGCCGGCTCTCTACTTTTATCATTCCATGCCTTTTTTTCCCCTTTTATGATATGTAATCATTTCTTATGTGTCATCACACCTCACTGGAACGGCTACTCCCTCCATTATGTAAATGGGGCTATATATTGGTCATTTGTTTCCCACTTTGATAGTGTCCCATATGTGCCCTCAAAATTATGAAGAAAAAATAATAATTAACAAGATATTGAATTGAATTAATTAGCTAGATGATGTTTGACTATTATTATTTCTTAAACGGCCTAGATGATTGATTATTGAATTTAATCTTTTTAACGTGGGGTTTTGTAACATTTTGAATTTAACGTGGCCCTTTTATGTAAACAAGCTAGGTGTCAGCTGACTAAACTAGATGTGTTGGTTTTCAGCGGTGTTTAAAGCACGGTGAGGCTAATTAATCCTTATTGGCTCAAAACTCTGATAGATCACCACCGCTACGGCCTCGTTTATGGACCGAACAACGATATGATGGAATGTTTGAATGCTTCAAAATATTTTGGTGTTGAAGTATGTACATTAGTTTATTAAAATTCCCATTAATCAGTTCCGTGAGGATGGGTGGCATTGGAAAGATGAATCGCAAGGGAATTACACAGTGAAGAGTGGTTATCAGAGACTTAAGTGATAGGCGACTAATGTCACCTACTTTTCTACTTGGGAAAGATTATGATATGGAAGATTATGGTTGCTCCGAAGATAAAGGTTTGTCTTTGAAGAGCTATGAGGGGTATCTCCCGATAATTTCTTCGTTGAATATCAAAGGTATGAGTTTGGAGAATGTGTGTCCGCTTTGTGGTCAATCGGGTGAGTCTATCGACCATGTCTTGATAGGGTGTCCTTTTTCGAATGCATAACATCAACAAAAACAACAACAACAACAACAACAAAGTTTTATCCCACTATGAGGGATGGGCTACATGGATCAAACGGCATCCGTGTGCCTTATCATGTAGCATATTTGGTGTGAGATCATTCACGCAAAGATCTCCCTTGATCATTGTTTGCCAATATTGGTGTAGAAACGAAATGAATTGCTTATCTTTCCATTGATAAGTCAATCATAAATATAGTAGATGGGGTTACCAAACTATCTAAGGAAACAAACTCCTACAAGGAAACTATATACAAGGAATTACAAGGAAATTATATACAATAAATATAATATACTCCAGTACGTCTTATATCTGTTGTAAGATCATTCACGCGAAGATCTCCTTTGATCATTGCTTGTCAATATTGGTATAGAAATAAAAAAATAAATTTTATATATTTAAAAAGTACGTCAAGAGTTTTTCAAAAAAAAGATGACAAAATTATTTTATTTTCTTGACCGATGAAACATACAAATAAGAAAGTTTTTGTCATTTTTTAATTGTAAATCGTGATATTTTTTTTAACGGAGGTAGTATAATTATAATATTTCAAATGCTTTACCATTATATTCTATTTAAACAATTATTTTTTTGGAATAATTACTTTTAAAAAGGGGCACGATTTTTTATTAGAAGACTCTCTTAATTTACTACATTTTTAAAATTTTTGTACTTCCAAGTTCCAACTATTCATTTTTAAAAATTTAAAAAAATAACCTAGGGCCGGTCTTCTTTGACAAAAGAAAAATAAAAATAAAATAAAGCAATACCGTAGCCCAACACATGGTGATGATGATGTCGGTCTTCTTTGGTTTCTTGGGTCTCCGTTTCTCATATTTCGAAGTAACAATGTCCAAAATAAAAAGTTTCCGACTCACTTGGAAACTCAATAATTTTTTGCCCTTCCTATATTTTCATGATCATTTCATAAAATAAAATATTTTTATCGCGTCTTGTTTTTATCGAATTTTTTAGATAGTTTTAGACGGTGTAAATTATACTACTTTACCTCTATACCAATTTTTTTTATAATAAATAATGTAAAAGTGATGAGCTTTTATACTAATTCGTAGAGTGATATCCATCGTGGGAAGAGGAGTATATTGGTAATTCAAGAATGGTAATTACTCGAACTCAATTAACATTTTAGCAAATCATAAATAATGTTATGATTCAAAATGTTTTCAAAAAATCATACTCCGTATTACTCAACATTATGTTGTTTGTCAAATATGACCATAATATTAGCAAATAAGTACTCCCTTCGTCCTAAAACTTTCTTCCCAGAGCACTATTCAAACTTCACGGAAATTTATATTTATTTGTGTTTTTTCATGGCCTATATGATAAAATAAAATATTTTTGTCACCACTTGTTTTGTTGAACTTTTGATGTAGTTTTTAAATATGTATATTTTATTTTTTATTTCTATACCAATATTTAAATAAAATAGATTGAAAAAACTTGAGATTTTTCTTCGTTTTGCGCAACGGGAAAAAAGATATAGGACGGAGGGAGTATAAAATAAGGAACATTATTTGAATTCAATGAGTAAAAATGAAAAGCTAGCCTATAATATGGTAGATAGCTTTTGGTAAATGATAGATAAATCATACACGTATACTCCCTCCGTCCCATGAAACCTTTCTCCTTTTTTTTTTATCCGTCCCACAAAACATTTCTCATTTCTATTAAAAAGTCACTTTTACTTCTTACTTTTTCATACTCTAACTATCACATCATACCTTTTTACTAATAATCTATTTATCAAATCATACTTTTACCCATCACATCAAAGGACATTTTTGGAAATTCAATACCAAAATACAATACCCTTAAATCCCTCCTAAAAAGAAAAAGTCACATGTTTCATGGGACGGAGGGAGTATATAAATCCGATCCCTAATGTCAAATCCAAGAATATAAATTAAATCACTAACAATGATTAGTTTTAATACTAAAAATATGTAAAAATTGTTCATTAGTGGGAAAAAGTGGCTCCGATCCCGAGGCCTTCGATCGGCTATACCATACTTTTGCTTTTGTGGATTCAAAAGTTAAGTGACAACTTCTTTTTGGTCCAAAGCCCAGATTCGTTAATTTTGTGGTAAATTATTTCTTAATTGGATAAATAAATAAATAAAGTGAAAAAGGAAAAAAAATTGAAAAGTAAATTCCATCATATATCTCTTTAGCTAGCTTTCAACATTTTCAAGGAGTTGCTCTGTAGAAAAGAAAAGCTTTTTTGTTGGACTGACCCTCAAGCAATGAATATTTCAGTTTGAAAAGTCTATACACCTCCAAACTTTCCATTATTTTATCTTATCCTTCTGATTTTTAGAAGAAAAAAAAAATTGATAGAGTAATTTTTTTCTCCTTCCAAACAGTAACATGTTTTTTCTTCGGTAAAAAAAATAAATTAACAGTGATACGTTTCATAAGATCACAGGTAAGTTAAGTTAAATTGAGTTAAGCATTTTGTATAATTAACCATTGTCTACTTTTATTTTAAGAAAAAAACAAAACGTACAGTATTTAATTTGAGTGAGATTTAAGTACCTATACTCTACCTTTACGAATTTTGTCCGTGATAAATTATACTCCTTCCGTCCAACAATAATGTTTTTGTTACGGTGTTTGACTGACATTATTTTCTAATCATGTTATATGAAAAATTGTATGAAATTAAAAAGTCAAAATTACATATATATTTAAAATCTACATGAAAAGATTTACAAAGCTAAAAGTGAGATGACTATATATATATATATATATATATATATATATATGTATATGTATATATATATATATGTATATATATGTATATATATATATATATATATAAAATTAATAAAGTTTGACTATGTAAAGAGTGAACGTGTTTGATGGAGAGAGCAATTCATTGGAATTATAGTATGCAATTTGTGTTTTAAGAGTGGAAGAGATTGTTCTAATGTATAGACTCACATTTCTTAGTAATATTTCTTTACTAAGTCTCAAAAGCAAGTTATACTGGCAAAAATCAACAATAATCTTTTCAAGTTGTTATGACAAAACCTTAAAATTAATTTTTTTAGTACGGATCAAATTTAAATTCTAGCATTGTTTGAATATAACTCTTTAAGCCCTTAAATTCCTTTCCTCAACTTCAATTTTGATTTCTCTTGGGTGCTCCTCGCTCATCTATGTATTTATTTTGTAAACCTTCTCGCATAAATTAGAATTAATTTTTTTATAAAAAGAGAAAAATAAATTCATTGCGTTAATTAAGAAATATTTATTGTATTACCGCCTACCGCCATATGTGTAAGTACATTGTGGACCTTAGACGTACCATAAAATTTGCTCTTTTACTTTCACAACTTGTAAAGATATATATGATAGAACACAAAAATGTAAATAGACTCTGAATTTAGGCGCTCGATCAAGATGGGCGTGCATGAAGAAGTTGTACTGATTAATTATATATAGATAAATCATACGGTGTATATATATTTACGTATCGTTTATTTTCCATTTTTTTCTTTAATTGCATGCATGCATGCAAATCCAGCTTTTATGTTAGATGCATTATGGCGAAGTATTCAATAATTATTCAATAATGGGAGTTATATTTATGTTGATGGATGGTAAGCTTAATTGGTCAATTGATTAATCAATTTATCAATCAAGAAATAGATCATCATATAATGATAAGTTGAGAATAAAATAGAATTAAAACAGCACAACATGATCAAACAAGTGTACGTTCAAATGTACATTTCATTCTACTTCTTCCATGCCAACTCCATCTAAATCTATGGGACCTGTCAGATAATTTTAACTTTACCCCCCTTCTCCCTTTCTTTTTTTTTAAACACTAAATTAAAAAAAACAAAGAAAAACATGACAGGAAAAAAAATAAAATTATAACCACAAAATTGAAAAGGAAATTAAATTTAAACTTGATTCGGGATTTTGGATTCCCTCCTCAACCACATGATCACAAGACCTGGATTTTGAACTCAACTTGTTTGTCCACAACTTCAAGAATTCCCACTTGGCGTTCCTCGGCGTGATCGAAATCACTGGCGATGTTCAGGTCGAGAGAAATGGACGGTTGGAATTTGTCGCATTTCGGCGCAACCATGGGAGGGGTAGGAGGAGAGGGGGCCCTCGAGGCATCGCCGAGGCTCTCGGAGTTGAAAATGACGATTGCGTCCTTCATCCTCACCATTTCTCCATCATCATCATCACCACCGCCGCCATGGGATAGTCTAAAGCTCCCATTCTCAATGAGATTCTTGATGCCCTTTTGGGAATGATAATCAACATGATCAATGTCCTCCATGAAGAAAACCCGGCTAGGGTTTTCGCGAACCGCCTCCAAGAACCTCTCAAGATAGCTTCTCCCTTCCTCATCTCTCCCCCTTTTCTTGTTACTGATCACTTCCTCCTCCGCTGCTGCCGTGGGCCCCTCCCTCGGCGACAATGAGAAGCTACTAATCCCAATGGAGATGAAGCTATCCTCAGAACCAAACACAACCTTAGCTAGCTCCCTTGCAACCCTCTCCTTCCCTTGTGAATCAGCACCCAAGAAGCACATCCAGGTCTCTTGTTTCCCTTTCCTCTTCACCAACCCTGACCTACACTTGAGGACCGTGCTGACGATTTCTGGGATCGCGCCCTCCCTTTGCCAGGGAACTCTCTTCTCCAATGCCTTGCGAAGAACGTTCACGTTCTCCGAACTCACTTCATTGAACTTGTTCAAGCACTCCATGGGGAGGAGATGGTCCCCACTCGCTTCGCTAGAGGAAGCCGAGTTCGGGCTAGAGTTCGGGTTGGATAGCAAGTCCGGCTTTGTACCCACGGATCCATTTTGGGACGCAAAGAATTGGTGCTCTTTCGGCGATTGGTCTGCTTCAAAGACAACTGGCCATTGAAGAAAGCTTTGGTGTAACTTGGAGCTTCTTTTTTCGTTGGACGAAGACACGGAAGTGGAGGAACATGGAGATGGAGAGAGGCTCAAAATCTTTTCAGGGAAGAGTGGGTGCTTGTGAACTGAGCTGCATATTGAGTTCCATTTAGTGCATAGATCACTAATCTTGTCACCATCCTGCAATTAAAAAAAATTGTCAGCTCTTGTGGTCCATGGGCTATATATATTAGGGAGGATGGGAGGAGAAAAGTGTAAAAAAAAAAGGTGGTGTAATTAATGAACACAATACCTGCAGATGATTGGTGGTTTGTGTAGTGGTGGTTGTCTCCTCTTTGCACTTTTGGAGCCATGAGGGCAAACAAGTTGGGGTGGTTGGCTCAGCCTTAACAGCAGCAGAGGCCATGTTTCTAACATCTTTGTTGAAGTTTGACATGCAATCTGTACAGCATGTGAGATTCTTCTCAGCACCACTTTGGTTTTTGCTGCTCATTAACCAGCACCTGCTTGATCCTTCTACCCCTGCTGTTGCTGCTGATGATGCCTTGCTTCCAAATTCACCATGCCAATCACTGTATATATGCATATACATGAACCAAATGACAAATTAATACTTATTAAGCACATTTAATAAAGAGTTTATGTATATTTATATTTAGCGGATGAAGGGACGAACCTGTTGGGCTTGAGACTGAGAGCCAAACTGCCAACAGGGATTGTGAGGGGATGAAGGGACCAAAGATTCTCAAGAGAGGGATGGCCAGTTTTGCACTTTATGTATGTCTGGAAAGTGGCAATGCCCATTAGCCAAAGTCTCCCATTCTCCCCAACACCACCACATAACAATCTGCTGAGCTCCATTATGAGGTGCTCCACTGGGGAGTAGCAGTAGTGAGTGTTTTGGTCAGCATATTTAGACCAGAACTCAGAAACCCACTTAAGATCACCTAAATACAGAACAACCCCTCTGCCTATGTAGCTTTTCACTAATGCCCTGAGCTCTCCAATCTTCAGCTCAAATTCATCCCTTGACATGTTCTTCAGGGTCAAAACCGGAACGCTTATGAACTGCACGTGCCTCATGTCCTCTCTCAGCACTTCCCCCTTGCTGATCTTTTCTATCACTCCCTTGACTACCCCTTCAGCTGTGGCCAAACACTCCCCAACAATCACTGTGTTTCTCCTCTTCTTGCTCATCATAGCCTCCACAACACTCATCACATCTTCGTTCTTGACGACTGCGCGATCCCCAATTTGTGGGAACCTCATCTGCTGCTGCTGATGATGATGTTGAGAGACGCCGGTGATGTTTCCGAGGACTACCGGTTTTGATGCCACCCCTTCCTTGATCTCAAGCGAAACCGCTTGTTCCACGTTGGTTTTAACCTGGCTACTGGAAAACCCGGCTTCCCTCATCACTCGACTCACACTGGGATCATCAAGAATGGAGATCACCAGCTGCTCAACTTCAACTTTGAGTGCAAGAATGGGCTGCTGCTGGTTCTCAATGGACCCTCTCCTTTGATGGGCCTGAGCACGCTTAAAGGCGGCGACAAGGGCGTTGGAGAGGGAAGGGAGGTGAGAATGGGGGCCCAAAATGGGATTCGAAGAAGAGGTTGGGAGACGGTTGAGGGCAACATTGAAGCAAAGNGTTTTAACCTGGCTACTGGAAAACCCGGCTTCCCTCATCACTCGACTCACACTGGGATCATCAAGAATGGAGATCACCAGCTGCTCAACTTCAACTTTGAGTGCAAGAATGGGCTGCTGCTGGTTCTCAATGGACCCTCTCCTTTGATGGGCCTGAGCACGCTTAAAGGCGGCGACAAGGGCGTTGGAGAGGGAAGGGAGGTGAGAATGGGGGCCCAAAATGGGATTCGAAGAAGAGGTTGGGAGACGGTTGAGGGCAACATTGAAGCAAAGCTCAAGAGCTTTGCATTGGAGTGGGTGAGAGTGGGAATGAAGGCAAGCCCTTCTGAGTAAGCCAGTTGAGGAAGCCAGCATAGCACTAGCTACATGGAGAGGTGTCACATGGGAGTGTCCTCTCCTTCTAGCTAAGCTCATAGCTTGCCTCACTATGTTTGCTGATTCATGTGTTAGTGACTGTTGGAATGTATACCCACCAGTCCTCATCTTTAAATACTCTTGTCTGCAATTACTCTGCTCTCTCTTGATTTTACAAGAATATGAGAGATTATGATTATGAAGAAGAAGAAGAAAAAGATGAGAGAGATTTCATATGGGTGTTGTTTCAAGAAGGTGGAGATAATGGGTTTGGAGTGTGGGGGTGAAGGGAATTAATAGGAGTTGAAGTAGGGTGGGGTGTGTGGGGGTTTGGGTTGGGGGGGGGGGGGAGGGGTAAGTTTATGCCTTTCTTGTAATGGTTGGCTTAGTATAAGAAAGTAAAAAAAAAGAATTTGAGGCAAAGCTAAAGCTAATTAGTCTTTCTTTTTGGCTTTCATAAGGGTATAATTGAATTAAAGGTGTAATAATAGGATAAATAGAATTTGAAAGTTGGACTGTTCCTATTATACGCAAGAGGATTGGTTTTTTTAAGAAGAGTTATAAGTTCAAATGTATATTCTCACTTACCGCAATACAGTTTACATTTTCTTTTTTTTAGATGTCTTCAAGCATACTACCATTTTGGCAAAAGAAAGAAAGAAAAAAATTGAATGAGAAGTCTAAAATACCCTTAACTGCCTTTTTTCTAATTCATCCTTCTTTTCTTACACAACCTTCTTTTGTAACACTAACTCTTTATTAACACATCCACCTTTTCATATTACGCCCCCCCTATTTACTTAGCCTGCTTAAATATGGAGGTAATTTGGGAAAGTAAACCAAAAAATTATTTTAGCTTAAAACAATGTGAAGACAAATTGTGAAAGAAAAAGAAAACATTTAACTTTTGTTTTATGCCTATATACTCTCTTTGTCCCAGAATAATTTACCCACTTTCTTTTTCATGCATCATAAAATAATTTACCGAATTCTTTTTCCTTTTTGAAAAAAAAATATGGTTTAAAATACTTCTCTTTCTTTTAACCAAATTCTACCCATTTACTTATAACTTTTCAATATCATATTAACACTTTTCTTAATTTTCGTAAAATCAAAATGAACAAATTATTCTGGGTCAGGATGATGTGGAGTGGAGAGAAATAAATATGAGAGAGCTTTGGTAAAAAGAGAAAAGTGAAGGAAAAGAGAAAGGAGGGATCTGAAAAGAGGGAGAGGACTGCCTGTCTGTTTGAAGGGATTGGGAACTGTGTGTATTCTTCTTTTCTTTTTCTTTTTTTTTTTTTTTTTGTGATTCAAGCTTCTCATCATAAATCTCTCAATTCTCTACAAAGTCTACAGGGAAAAGGAGGAAGGGAATAAAGCATTGTTTGGACTAATACAAAAAGTACTACTCCTGCTGCTCTACATAAATAATGTAGTGAGATCATGAATAAATTACCTGATTTGGTGAGCCCATAAATTCAGCCCACTACCCTCAAAGCCCAACTAGCAAGAAAGTCCACTGGAAGGCTGTTTGACTGCAATGATTCATAATTCAAGAATCAAACAATGGAGAAAGAAAATAAATAGGCTAAGGTGAGAAAGAGAGAAAAGAAGGAGAGAGCCCAATAATAATAATAATAATGAGTCAAATAAGAGACAAGGTATGATCATTACTATTACTAATAAGCTCAAAGGAAGCCAAGGGCTTTTTGGCATATGTACATCATTATGTTTTATGTCATGTCTCCATTATATGAGTTGCTTTTTACCTTTATCTCCCTGCAACTTCAACTCACAAACAGAATCAGGGTCAGAAATGTCGAGTACCTAACATCAAAAAGAAGGACCCATTCTCTTTACTATTTTGATCAGAGAATTTTTTTAAATTTTTTCACCCAGAAGAAAAAAAATGCATTATTGTGTATCTATTGCCATCACCTCTGCTTACACCACCAAACAGCTTTTTACTACTACATACATCCAGCACTAGCAAAAAGTTGGAAACTGAACATATTCTTGTACCATTTTTGGACAAACTCTGAGACCATCACAAAAAAAATAATAATCATAAAAAAGTTCTAATACAGAAACAGTACTAGAATATGATCAGAAGAGCTTTTCATCTTCATCATCATCACATATTGAATGGTGGAAATAATCAATCATATTCGAAGTCATCTAAGCCTTCTTCATCTTCGAAATTGATTTCAGTAGTAGTTGCGGTAGGAGTTTTATTATGTGCATTCCAGTCGGGAGGAAACGTCTTCTGAATGGCTTCTGTTATGCTGCCACCTGTCCTCTCAATCTTGCGTAAGCACTTAGACCAATGGACAGCTGTGCCCATATCGACCGTCACGCCAAAATCAACCATCTCTTCACAAACATTTAGCATGCCGGTTAGTATGTAGTCTTCAGTGACAGAAGCTCTTGACACCAATGATGACATCAAACAACGGTACGAGGCTTTGTCAGGCTTCAATCCCGCTCGCTTCATTTCTTCAAAACACCTCAGAGCCTTCTCTGGGACTGATGCAAGGGCCCACCCATTTATGAGGGTCGTATACGTCTTTATGTTAGGCTCCACTCCAACTGCCTTCATCTCTTCAACTGTTTCCATTGCTCTCTGAAAATGATACGATTGTGTTTATTTAAACATTTGTGGCTTCAATTCAATACTCTATAACTATCTTCTAGAGCATCACCTGCATGTCTCCAGCTTTGCAAGAAGCATTTATGAAAGATGTATAAGTATGGATATCCGGCTGAACCCCTTCTCGTCTCATCTGTTGCATAAGATCAGCAGCCTCCCAAACATCACCTCTTCGGGCCCACCTTCAAAGTGATCACAACAAAACACGGAAGAAAGTTAAACCCATAGATGGTACAACAGAAAAGTTGCCATTTTTTCCTCATTTCAATCCTTAAACGAAGATCGAAATATAAAAATGCCATCTTTGCCTCTTTTTTCAATTCTTGGAAGTCTTTTATTTCACCAAAACTAACACACTTCTTACCCATCAATTAATATGTTGTAAATGAAGGTGTTCCTGGGGATATTGTGAGCTTTCATTTCTTTAGTCACTGCTAAAGCACTTTGCATCCTCCCCGATTTACAGCACGCCTTGAGCAAAGCCTCGTACGTATACACATCAATGACCAAACCTTCGGATTTTAGTTTTGTGAAATATTGAAAAGCTTTACCAGTGTCACCAACTGATGCATAACCTTGCATAATGGTTGTATATGTGTGTTCATCGGGACTAATTCCAGCTACTGACATCTCATCCAATACTCCAACAGCCTTCTCCATCTGTTTAGGAAGCATAAAACTCGTGGTTAAAGTCCTTTAATTGCAACCATCAAGACAGAAATAAAAACTTGTTTTAGTGCTCGTCTGGTATACATTTTTTTTCACCTTATGAGACTTTTCACCAAAAATTAACTCATGTGACTGCTATTCAGCCGATAATGAAAGAGTGCTGTAGAGGTTGCGCTTTTTTTGTTGAAATTAATGAAACTGACACTTCAGCATTTATTTTCAGATACTATTTTTCTATAGTTATCTAAAAAAATTATTATAAATAAATATATTTGATACTTCAGCAGAATCAAGCATTTCAGCAGCAACTGCAGCATGCTGAGTATGATATTTCAACCATTTTAGACCTTACAAATGGACTCTTAATCTTGATTCAAGCAACATGGTATAAAGAGCTGAGGTTGTTTTTTTACCTGGAACTTTTCAACAAGTCCATGAATTAGAGAATTAAACACGTGGACAGTTGGTGCGCAACCATTCCTCCTCATCAAGTCCAATGTACTGAGAGCTTTATGCATTTCTCCAGCTTTTGCAAAAGCATGAATAATGGGCAGAAATGTCCGTGAACTAGGCTTGAGCCTCTGTTTTTTCATTTCATCAACTATACGAATGGCACGATCCATATTGCCCATCCCACAAAACGCTCTAATGATGTTATTGTAAAGAAGAAGATCCGGTTTCAAACCATCCTTTATCACATCTTCAAAAATGGCAAAGGCATTTGCCCAATCCTTCAGATTTATGAATCCATTGATCAACATCGAGTACGTCTTCATGTTATGTTTTATGCCTGCCAATTTCATCTTTTCACTGACTTCCAATGCTTTAGAAACCTGCCCGGACTGCAATGGTTTATAATGGAAACGAGTCAAATTACGCTTTGTAAAAAATTAGTACTCCAACCAATCCTATTTTTAGATCGTAGAATGGTCCTAAATAGAAGTCATTTTACATCATCAATGCTTTCCATCATCTCCGATGGAGCCAAAAATTCACTATTTTTTGGCTTTGGGGTGTGATGGAATAAAGCAAAATAGATCTCTAAACTGTCTGAGCTTCTTTAAATAATGAAGTAGCAATTAGTCAATCAATGCAATTTTCAACGTTGAGCCGGGGGTCTCTTTGGAAACAGCCTCTCTACTTTTGAGTAGGGGTAAGATCTGCTCCCGAAAATAAATGTCTATATATACATTTATTTCTTTTTTACACACAATTCGACACTTGTTTGGGGAAAAAATGATTTTGCAAAATTTACATACAATACAACAAAAACTAGCATCTTTTCTTTTTTTATTATTTTGAAACATGACTTTTTTATGAATGAAGGCAGTAAATCTTATATAGGCTGAACTGAGAGAACTTCCACAATTATTTTAAACATTCATGCTGATATTTGCATGCTCATGGCCACGTTGCGGGTACCTCATGCTCAGGGACATATCATTCTTTTGGAAGACAGTTCAAGAAACTATCTAGTAACCAAGGAATTTGTTTAGATCAATTAAACTGAGATTAGTCATTCACAGGTAATAATAAAGAATTCAAGAATGAACAAAGGTCATTTTTTACATTAAAAATCCAGTGGCGAGGGGAAGAGTACCTTGGTATACAAATTGATGAGACAACCATAACTGACTACTGATGGTGCAAAGCCACATTCCTAGAGGACAAAAAAAATCAAGTTCATGAGATTCGTTAGTAGAACTACTGTTTCCAACATTGATTCTACACGGTTCTGCTAAGGCTCATACCTTAAGCCTCTCAAACACAACAAGACATTTTGTAGCATTTCCACTCATTGTATAACCATCCATCAGAGTGTGGTAAATATCAATTCGGGCATCAATACCCTCTTCTTCCATCTCCTTGACCAACTCTTCAGCTCGATCCATATTACCAGTTTGGCTGTGTTTTCACAAATTCTCCGTGAGTAATAAATAATCAAACATACTCCAACAGTGTTAATTCCTAAATTAGGTTTTTGAGAATGCAATACTAGGTAAACAGCAGACAAAAGAAAAAGCACATAGCTACTTGAGAGTACAGAAAAGGTCAGCACTTGGTACTTCACCAAAACGGGTCTATAGATACAAGGAGTCAAGGACATATTCAGTGATAAGGGCATTTATCATTTGGAAAATAACAAATAAATAAAAGAAACCACAAATGAAGGATAGCATACCAGTTAGCATAGATGATGCTTCCATATATGATAGCATTTAAGGTCATATGCTCTTCTTTGGCCTCCTGAAACCACCACTCTGCATCTCTTTCATAAACAGAAAAATGAAACACAGAGAATGCAGTTCGTTTTCCCATTAAGCAATTCACAAATTAGTTCAAATCTAACAAGAAATTACGTTGAGTAACACAAAAGCACATGTGTCTAGTAGCAGAGCATGATATCAAAGCCTAGGTCATTAACTAGAAAGAGTTAGGAAAAAAGACTAAATTCTCAGAGAATTAACATAATAATTACTCCCTCTGTCCCAATAAGGTTTGCCCACATGCATAACCATGATCGACTGAATTTATTATCAATTCAATTTATGTGAAAAATGGTATAAAATTAAAAAATAAAATTTATAGATTTAAAAACTATGTCAAAAGGTCTACAGAACAAGAGATGAGAACATTATTTTATTTTATCAAATGAGTAATGATATTGAAGAAAGAAAGTGACCAAAGTTCGCCCTCAAATAATGAATGAAGGAGTTTTAAATAGGCATTTCAGCACATTTATGTGACATGCACCTGAAAATGTCAAACAACTTGACATGAAAAAGATCGTGTATGACAGTATAAGGGAAAGGAATTACTTACTCAACATTGCCCAATTTAGCAAATCCACTGACGATAACATTGTAAGTCACCAAACTCATTTCAAGTCCTTCACCCTTCATTTTTTTCACACACGTAAGTGCTTCTTCCATGTCTCTACCGACTGCATAAGCATGAATCAGGCTGCAAAAAAATGGTAATACTTTTTTGTTGGAACATGGATAATGCAATTATTTAAATTTTATAAGGACTATAAATCAATCCAATGTGATTCTGTAAATTACAAATATCCCCCCCCCCCCCCAAATAAAGAATAAAAAGAAAGAGCATTTTTTGTCTGCTTGAAAAAGAAAATAGAAGATTTACAGTGTACAAACAATGCTTCCATGGACAGGCATTAAACATTGATCAATTAACTCAGAGAAATACCAATCTTGTACCTCTCTGGGAAGTAAGGATCAAATGTTAACAGAAGCCAACATAGTATATAGTGGAACTAACTTTGTATATACATGAGACGTAGGCTCTATTCCCCTAGCACGCATCTTCTCAAAGATTTCTCTTGCACGATGCATGTCCCCACGCCTAGCATAATACTTCACCATCAACCCAAACTCCTTTCTGGATGGCTACAAAGAGTGTAATTGTTTATACAATTAAAATGACCCAAAATCATATGATCAACATTGATACACTAACTGCAGACCATTTAACTGCCCCTAAGAATCAAAGATCAATTCTTCCATTTCGTCCCTTGCTGGACTGCACAATACCCATATGTAATCTCATATTATGATTTATGAACTACTCAACTATCAACTTATTATTAGTTTTTCTTTCAGGATGACTAAATAGGCAAGCAAAGAAAGCCATGATACCTTTTTTATTCTCTCAAAGGCTTGTACAACTGCTTGCCAATTATCCGGATATGATTCTAAAACTTTCCTCAAATCCATTCTGGAACCCTCCCTCTCTTCATGCCACTTGGACTTGTACTCTTTTTCATCTTTTCCCTCAACCCATCTCACCCTCTCCTCTCTTTTGGATTTCAGCCTACTTCCATTGTCCAACTTCACGGTCAACACCCTCCCATGAAACTCAACCCCGTCAAACTCGACAGCATTCACTGCGGCCTTCTCAGCCATGGACCCTTCATATATGACAAACCCAAACCCCATGTTTCTGTCCGTTTCATGGTGACCTTTTATCAAAATCACTGTTTTTATCGGCCCAAACTGCCTAAAGAACTCTGTAACCTTGCTTTTCTTGACCCACAATGGTAAATTCCCCACAAAGATCTTCCCTTTCTCCCTAAATTCATCTCCTGGTACCATTCCTTCGGACTCCGATTTTTCTGAATTTCCAGCAAAATTATTTTCATCTTCTTCTATAACTGTTTCTTGGGGTGGAGGCGGCGGGGGCGGTGGGGAGAGCTTACTGGACAGCCAGAGCTTGCTAGACAGTGTATGAGGCGAAGGTGGGGGTGGGGGCCGTGG